TTGCCGGTAGCAAGGACGGGAGTGTTCCGGCACAACAGCTTTGCAAGGGAGGACGTCTTGATGAAGTCCCTCTGCTCTACCGTTAGCAAGCTGCTGTCGTGCTCCCAGAATAGCCGATTGCCGGTCTTCAGTCGGGCAAACTGGTCAGCCTAGAGGCGATGAATGTAAGCGTAGAGGGAAATACTAAATACAAAAAATACATATGCATATGTATAAACTATATTTGTGTGCATAATGGGCACAAGCGTTTACGATAGACAACAGAAAAGCACATGATACGCTGTTTTTGCGCCCCTACTCCCCTGAACCCCACCTGGAACCTTCACTTCCTTACCAAGAGGCAGGTGAAGGTCTTGCCGACGATGCCGCCGTCCTCCTCGTCCGGCTTCTCCAGCAGCGCCACCAGCGCGTCAATGTCATCGATCTCGTCTCTGGGGAAAACATGATATTTAAGGAACAGAAAACGTACAGTGGTTGAGTTTACTGCTTGACAGTCATTCAAAAGGAAACTTTATTCATTCAAGATAACATTGATAGTAAAATCGCCCTGCATACAGACTTCATTATACAAGAGAAAAGTACCGTCTAAAAAAGGGTAAACCCACAAAGTAAACCAAAAAAGGTTTGCATAATTAAATAAACCAGGCAGTATTTTAAAGAAAATTTGCAGTTTTCACGGTCTTGGTACTCACTGGTATAATTCCTTGAGATCGTTCACAAGTTCTTTCGGCAGACCCTTCTCCAAGTCTTCCCAGGTGTTGTACGAGTGCGTACTGTCACAGAACCTTCTCCAAGTCAGGTAGCCCACCATTCCTATTAGAATATTCATATACACATGTTACAAAATGACAAAAAACTCGTTTCTAAAATGAACGAGAGTGGTTTCAGCGTTTGGAGTAGGAATTTCGATTCCTCAGTACAACTTTATTGCGATTCCTGTGAACTTATTTCTAACTTGTTTCTTGCCTATGTTGTAACAATGATTCTATAAGAACAGCCACGTTCCCAGAAAAGCTTTTCTAAACTTATCGGAAAGTACCAAAAACTATTAAATGTTACACATCTAATTCGTGAATGCAGTCCCGAGTCCCCAAGTGCGAGTGTAGGACCCGCTAAGGACTCACCCTGATCTCGACCACGTTGGATGTCCATGGCTAGGAGGTCTTGGTAAGGGTCTTCCCGGACAGCACTGTAGTGAGACGACTCCAAGATCTCTGTCGGCCCCCATTCCTTCCTCCATTCCGTGTGCATCTGCAAATTCGAGATTACTATATCTCATATTTTACGCATACTTACGATTATACTATCCTAATACATTCATCCATATTTCTTTGGTTTCTCATTCTCCGATTAACATACCGAGGGATTTCTGTAGGAGGCGACGGCGAAGGAGTTGAGAATACCAGGATTGACTTCCTTGATGTATCCTGCTGCGGGGCCCTCGGCACCAGGGTTGAGGGAATGCTTCTTCACCAGCTCTTCTCCCATCACTACGGGAAGGTACTCCTTGAACGTGATGTGGTTGTACTCGGCGATCGTGATACGCCTGGAAAAAAAAAATGCTTTCTCTTGTATTCTGTCAGTAATGTCTTCTGTTTATATCTTTGTACACCCAAAATACCGCAAATATGCACATATGAGTAGCCGGTCCACCAAGTCCTGTATCTTCGGCGAGCAAGCAAACGCCCATAATCTTTGGACGTCGTTAAGCGAAACCCCAATAATCGGGCTTGCGACGCGGACAGGGCTGACAGTTCTCTAACAATATTTTGCAGACCTATCACAATGCAGACGTTCAAGCTTCACGTAACTGAACTTTTCACTAGCATTTAGTAGGCTCATGGACACACACACGCAGCTCTATCCTTCTATTTTATGAAGGAAACCAGAACGTTTATGGGTGAAAGCATGGAGAACCAGAAAAGACCCAAGTGTTTTAAAGGACTTGCAATTGAGGACAGCCGCGGTTTCTATGAATTTCACAGGATGAATTAAGTTTTTAAGAGTTGCTGAATCTTGAGAAGCCTCACATTCAGAAAGAGATACATCCCGACTTAATCCCAGCTCCCTAGCACCTACATCTGGGGACTTAATCCCAGCTCCCTAGCACCTACATCTGGGGACAAAGTGGAAAGGACTCTCCAACATCCTAAGAGGAAGGAGACCTCCCAAGCCCACACCGGATACACCTGATGAAAAAAGGTTTCCTTTTAAGTGATCGCAAAAAGAACTCAAAAAAAGGTTCAAAGAACATTGCAGTCCTGCAAAGTCCTCCCCAGTAGACGATAATCTTCTCTTTGACGAGGATTTGAATCCTGTTGAGTGTTGTAGTTACTACGGTCGCAAATCTCAAGAATTCTCCAATTCGTCAATAACGAGGCCGACCATCCAGAGGAAGACGGCTGTGGAAGCTCTGTTGTGTGATTGATATGTTTGGCAAGGTGTTCAAAAATGTTTGTGCCTGACCAGAAAATTTCTATAGACGAGTCGTTATGGAAATTTAGAGGAAGACACGACTTACAACCCCAGCAAGCAGGCCAGATTCGGCGTCAAAGTGTATAAGCTTTCGGCCAGTGATGGCCCGTGTGCTGGATGCACGTCCGTTTTCCGGATTTATATCGGAAAAGACAAGGGATCCATACCTTCCTCTCAGAGGACGGCAATGGACCTCATGGAGAGGGGGGGGCGTTTTTGGAAAGGCTATACAGTATACTGCAACAACTTGTATACTTCCCCTACACACTTCCATTTCCTACAATCCAAGAAGACTGGAGCTGTAGGAACAGTCCTGTTGAATCGTCGCCATATGCCCAACGACTTAAAAGTCAAGAAAAACGGAGAAGTCGGCTATTGAAGCTCGAAGACTGGTATATTGGCTCTTGCTTGGATGGACACCAAACAGGTGTCCATGCCAAGTACGGTTCATACTTCGGAGATGACAGTGGTGAGCAGAAGATCAGGGCCCCAATTCAGCAAGCTCCAATATATTGTTGATTACAATGTGGGGATGAAGGGTGTAGATCTGGGGGACCAGCTCGAGTTCCTACCCGGTTGTGCGCAGATCTCTCAAATATACAAAAAGGTATTCTTTTACTTATTTGACCTTGCCACAGTCAACAGCCACGTGGTCTACAAGTATCTAGGCCACCGTATACACCAGGTAGATTTCAAGATGGACCTTGGGAACTCCATCAACCAATACCATCCAGAAGAAGGATTGTATAGCTCTCAAGAACAGCCTTTAATTCTGCCTTCGCCTTCCCGGCTGCTGGGGAGGATAAGGCACGTTGTGCGGGAGACTCCAGGCCGGCGGTACCGCAGGTGCTTCCTGTGCTACTGTGCCAGGAAAAGAAAAATGACAAGTATCATGTGTCCGGAGTGTCAGGATTCATTATGTACATATGGATGCTTTGAGGCATTCCATTCCTAGCGCAGATAATATTTATGTATAGTTTACATAAAAGTAAATGGTGATGGTACAAATCTCTTGTTCTCCTTTTCCTTTTCGCAATTGAAAAAAGTCAAGTCCACAGTTCGCATGAATCGGTGACACATGCCGAAGGATCTAGAAATAGATGAAAAGGGCGAGGTCAACTTTCAAAGCTCCAAGACCGGTATACTGGCTCTCTCGTGAATGAGCACTATTCACACTTCGGCCATTGCAGTGGTCAACCGAAGATTTCCAGGTTAGCAAGCCCCAGTGCATTGTAGACTACAATGTGGGGAAGAAAGGGGTAGAAGTGAGGGACCAGTTGGCGAGTTCATACCCTACTCTCCGACGGATTTTTTTACTTGTTTGACCTGGCGACAGTAAGCACCCATACAGTGTACAAATACCTGGGCAACTGTATCCATCAAAGGTTGGACCTCGGCAATGCCATCGTGAATGAGTAACGCAGTTTTTGATACACATTGTCATCATGCAAGAGGGAATATTTTGATCGCTTTAGAACGGTAAATCCTTCGATTCTGTATTTTTATGGCCTTCCTCAAACTCACAAGCAGGCCTATTATTTCGTCGTAATTCTGTTACCCGCCCATTAGCTTCTTGGCTAGCGTTTGTCTTCTGTTATGGGATCCTTTTCTGATAGTCATTAACTATTCGATGTATTTCATGGATGAAGTTGGAAAATTACCAACGCACGTTAAGAAACTTCTTAGTTTTGATGTGGATTCCTTATTTACTAATGACCCGCATGACGATGTGCTACATTTTCTTGAAAGGAAACTTTCTTCGTTTCATCAGAAGATCCCTATTCCGGTCAATCACTTTATCGATCTCATTCGTTTGTGTCATGAATGTCTTTACTTTTGACGGCGAATTCTATAAGTAAATTCAAGGTATTGCGATGGGAAGTAGCCTTAGCCCGGTTCTTGCAAATTTACATATAGAAATGTTTGAATCTGAACAATTTCCATCAATCCTCAAGTCTGACACGATTTGGTTTCGCTATGTTATTGACACTTCTTTTATGTGGCAAATGAACCATTCGGATTCCAGTGACTCAATAACCTCGCTCGTACTATCAACTTTACAGTAGAATGGGAAGACGCAGGCAAATAACTTTCTCGACGTTCTTTAATCCAATGTAATTGGCTCGCAAATTTTCATTTTATCGTAAACCCACCCACACCGCTAATTAAACAATTTTTTTCTCGAATCACCCAGTGTATATAAAAGAAATCAATTCTCAATGTTCTTGAGGGCTTATAGGATTTGCGATAACTAATTCATTGTGAGTTTGACGTTATTTTGGATACTTTTTCGAAAATAGAATATCCTCGTTTTTTATTAAAACAGGTACATTCATCTGCGAAATGGAAATTTTATAATCATTCCCGTAACCCACAACGCGACAGTGCCAATAATTTAACCATTCCGTACAGTGTCCCTCACTGAAAAACGCCGTATGCGTAAAGGAGTTGGCATTGTTTTTACATACTTGAACACCTTACATAATAATTTGGTTAGGTATAATATGACCAGCGCTGCTCTTGACACCTCTCCTGGTATTTACACGATTCCTTGTAAGGACTGCCCGAAATTTTACATAGGCGAAGCCTGGTAAGCTTTTGATGAAATGTTAGAAACACCAGAGAATCTAATATTTGTTTTAATCACTTACATGACAAAGGACATCAGTTGAAATGGAAAGATGCCAAATTAATTCATAAATCGTTAAATTCGTATGAGAAAAAATGTTTGAAACCCTGCTAATTAGAAAATTAGCCCAATTTTAACTTGAGTGCTGGTCAATGGGGGTTGGATGATCTTGCCTCATCTTTAGTAAAGCCATCCCCAGACTCTTCGACCTTGACCCTCCCTTCCTGAGACCCAATTCAGATCGTGCTTGTTCTCCTTCCCACTATATATCAACCTTTTCTTTGACGAAAAGGATATGATTCTCCTGTTGAGTGATGTTTCTGCAGTAGCAACAGCCTTAGGAAGGTAGTCCAGGTCGCCATGACGGCAATTACCCACTGTTGCAGCCCTGAAGGATAATGGTTAATGGTTAATGGTTAAGATAAATGTGCTAGACATCTAAGGTCATATAGCACTATAGGAAAGTATAGTAAAGAGGGATGTCAGGTGACAGTTGTAATGTGTCAACTATCTAGAATATTGTTGAGAGGTTGAGGATGAGGGAAAAGATTATGGTGGTTTAGGTAAGGGAGTTAGATCAAGTGAAGGATATTTATGTGTCTGAGGAAGGAGAACAGGTTGTCGAGGCAGAAACTGTGAGATTCTGTAAGGATGTCTGATATGTTGGGAAGTCGGTGAAGGGAGGATAGGTGTGGAAAAGCAGAGGTACGTGCTGTATTAAAACGTGGACAGGACAAGAGAATGTGTGGGACTGAAATAGGGATGTTACACAGAGGACATAGGGGCGGGTCTGAGCGTGACATCAGATAGGCATGTGTTAGGCGAGTGTGGCCAATACGTAATCGTGCGAGGGCAGTCTCCCAACGTCTGTTCTTGTGAAATGGAGCTGACCAAGAGGAGATTGATGGTTTTACGGTATGTAATTTATTGTTGTGGAGTCTTGACCAAAAAGATTGCCATCGGGTATACAAGAAAGTCTTAAAGTGGGGGTAGTAATCTGTAGCTGGAATATGTGAGAAGCGTTGTTGAGGTGATGAGGACATTGCGGCATATCGTGCAAGAGTATCTGCCTGTTCATTGCCAGGATTCCAACATGGCTGGGTACCCAGCAAAATCTGACAGATTTGTGACGTGTGGATAGATAGAACAACCAGTTCTGGATCTTACAGACAAGGGGATTGGTCGAGTGCATTGACTTTATGAGGGTTAAAGAATTACGGGAGTCAGTAAAAATAGTAAAAGAGGAAGAGGTGGATGAATATATGCGTCTTAAGGCAAAAAGGAGTGCATATAGTTCTGTAGTAAGGACACTAGATTCAGGAGGGAGGGTGTATTTGAAAGTGCAATTTGGGAATGTTACTGCGAATCCAGCTCCTGAGATGGATTTGGAACCGTCAGTGTAAACATGAATGCTGGAGGAATGAATGGAGACATGGTCAAGG